TAAAACCCCAACCTGGAGCCACCGTACCAAACCCCCGGGACCCAGCCTCAACTTTCCCAGGGACCCACGGGAGCATTAGCAGCCATGGTGGATGGTGACATGCAGAAAGCCAGCGTGGAACGCACGCAGGAGGTGGCCAGTCAGCTCACCTGCTTGCCCTTCGTCCCCCTCTTCCTTTCTTCAACGCCGGAAGAGTAAAAGGACCAGGCCAAAGTTGCAGGGCCACCTGGTCAAGTTATACATGCCCCTGCCTCCGCGCCAGACCTACCTGACTCCACTCCCACGCCTGGGCCAGACTGGACCCCGCTGGGCCAGGCCCCAGGGAGGTAGCCATTCAAGGGGAGAGCGGCCGGGCTGCGGGCCGGGTGGGGGAGCTGCCCATAAATCAGGCCCCACTCCCACCCAGTCGCTAACAAGCGGGGCTGCCTACCCGCCTACGTGGGGTCCCTGCCTCTGGGCTCCCACAGCGGCCTGGAGCAGCCAGCTGGCCAAGGCCTCCAGAGTGCCTTGGCCTCCACCCCCACCCGCGGCCCCCAGATAGATAGGGATATATTTTTTTTCTTTTAGAAGAAGGAAAAAAATAGACCTAAATGAAGAGAAACACCAACAAAGAAGGAGAGAGGCCTGCGAAGTCACGTGGGGGCAGAGACCAATTGGGCCTCCGGTGGCCCCCCCCACCCAGGGCGGGGAGGAGGAGGACGGTTGGACAGGGCCAGCCTACTGTCCGCCCGCCGCCCGCCGTGGCGTGAAGGAGTTCCCGTGTGTGTCCACCGTCACCACTGCCCAGCTCGGGCCGCCAGAGCCTCCCGCTGGACCCCCGGTGCCCACTGTCCACCCTCATCCGGCGTGAGAGCTCGCCTTCCGCTGCGTAAGTGAGGGCCTGGGCCCAGGCCTCTAATGGCCAGCCTCCCTCCTCAGTGCCTCCCTGCGGCCTGGCCCAGCCACTGCCTGCTCTGCAGAGTGGCTGGTGCCCGCTGCTCTGGGCAGAGAAGCTGCCAGGGATCTCCCCAGACCTACCCTCCCACCATGCTACCCCCCCTTTTCCCTGGGCTGCTGCTGGGGGGAGCTGGGCCTATGGGGACAGGCTGGATGGGGGTCCGTGGTGTCCCGCGGTCGATCGGTGGCCAGTGTCCACAGGGCTGTGTTGGCCCCAGTCTGGTAGTCTGCGAACGTGTCCGTGGTCCCTGGATGTCCCTGCCTGCGTGTCTGCTGTCTCTGTGGTGTCTCCGAGTCTCTGTGTGGATTTGTGTGTCTGTCCCCAATGTCCATCTGTCAGTCCAGGGTCTGTGGCTTGGTCAGGTCAATGTTTGCTTCCCTGGGCAGGCTGGCGGGGGGCTGTGATTCCCCACTTCAGCTGGAACCTAGGGCTGAGGGGTGAGTGCAGTGGGGCCTGGAGGGTCACCCCAAGAACCTCCTGGGAAGGGGAGAGTCCAGGTGAAGAGAGAAGGGGAGGCCTGGCTTGGAGCCTGGCCCCAACCCACCTGGCCCGCCTGCCCAGGCTGTGCTTACACTGCCGAGTCTTCCTCCACAATGTCCAGCGGACCCCAGTGGGCTCTGCCCTAGAGTCGTCTACTGCGGACCCCTCCCCCTCCCCCAGGGCCCCTGAGCACAAAGAGGGGGAGCCAGGACCCAGCCCCTAGGATTTCCAAGTCTGATAGGTTGATTCCAGGAGCGAGGTGAGGGGCGAGTTGTTCCTTAGTAGAGGGACAGTGCATTTACAGAGCTTTATGGAGTGTGTGTGTGTGTGTGTGTGTGTTTGGGGGGGGTGGGGGGGGGGGGGAGGGTCTGTAACTAACGGCTGTGGCTCTCTCTCCTTCCTCCTCACTGAGATTTGTCCGCAATCTCATGGGAAACGCAGAACCCCTGCTCTAGGGCCAACCTTTTCCATTTCACATTCGGAGAAACTGAGGCTCAGAGAAGCAAAGCGACCAGCCAGAGCTGGCACCGCAAGCGGGCCGCAGATCCTCCCCTTCGGTCGGGTGGGGTGAGCCAGGTGAGAAGTGGTCTGCTCTGGGTCTCCCGGTTCTGGTCCCAGGACCAAGGTGCCAGCTCCAAGAGCAGCGGGGGGCCTCCCATGGGGCCCAGATGGGTTGCCTCGCTGCCCTGCATAATTGTTCTAGTTCTCGGCTTGAAGATTTTGGCTTATGACCTCTCGGCTGCTCTGAACACTCTCCGACCCTAGGTGCCTGAGGGGGCAGGGGCAGGATTCGAGACAGATCCTTGGTTTTTTCCATCTGAAAAAAAGGAAAGTGGCCGGGACATCTCCCAGACCGGCCAGGGGACGCCTTTGTCCCCAGGGCTGCCGGGAGCCCACCCCCACCCCCACACCCCCAGGCGGGTACCAGTGCGGAAGGGACCAGGGAAGATTTCTCCCGGGTTTGTCCTCCCCACGCCTCGGAGAACTCACAGGGCGAGAGGACGGTGATTCCCATTTTCAGCCGAGCAGACTGAGGCCCCAGGAGGAGAACAGCTGGGCCCAGGCCTCCCGGCTCCATACTACCGATCGCCTCCCCGTTCAGGCACGTGCTGTGCCAACACCACTTCGGTTCCTACGAACGATCACCCTTCAGGAAGCCAGTCATTAGTCCCACTTCACAGATGAGAACACTGAGGTCCGGAGAGGCGGGAGGTTTGCTTAAGTCTCCAGTGAGGACATGCGGCGGGGCCGGACGAGAACCCGGTGTGTCGCCTTGAACCCGAGCCGTGGCCACGGCCCCACACGTCCGCCCTTACCTCTGTCCACGTTACAAAACGACCGGCGCCCGCAGCGTGGCCCTCGCCGCCTCTAAGCTGGGCTGGCGAGCAGGGGCTGCCTTCTC